TACTCTCCTTTCCTTGCTTGTTTCCCCAACGAGGACTATTTTCAGCGTTCTTTTTGTATATTTCAGGAGCAACTTGTCCAACCCCCAAAAAATAAAATAAATAAATAAATCAACACTACCATGCGATTTTTTTTTTTGAAAAAACTATCAATTTATTTTTCTTCATTTTGCCTTCACATAATATATAAAGAATAACCAACAAAAATATGTCCAAATCATAAAAAATTGATCAATAATTTATAAAGTTATGAGTTCAAATTTTATTACTAATATCAAGTTTTTGTTAGTATGCAATATTTAAATATTTCTATAAGTGTCTTTGAGTTTAAAGATATATCCTAGTTTTTAAAATCTAATTTATCCAAACTTTTGTTTATAAACAGTGTTTAAAAAATCTAATTTATTTTTAAAAGGTTAACGAAAAGGATCTCCATGCAGTACACAGAATCTAATAATAAATCGTTCTATTTAGGATCTATAAAAAGTACAATTTCGATATAAAATTTATAGCACACATTAATTATTAATTACTATGGGAAAATGCTCTTATTTCTCGGTCATCCGAATAAAAGCAGTTCTGTTCAGTTAATCTTTTTTATCCACGATTTAAACTCAAGATTTCACTTGAAGGATATTGAACACTCAAAAGACTGTAAATTTTTCTCTTAATCAAAAAATTGTAAATTATGAAATGAAACATGTCTCCTTTTTTTTATGGTATAATGATATATTTCTATTGAAAATAATCACATTTAAAATGTGACTATATATTAAATATAGATACTTTGTTAGAGAGATTTAAATTTTAATTCATTATATTATGAATAATCAGTTCATAATGTTAGGCTCAATTCTTTATTGATTGTCTCTTTCAATTTTTGTACTCCCTCCATTTTTTAAATATAGAATAAAATAATTAATTCACATGTTTTAAAAAATCCGATTAAGTATAATAATTATGTATGAAATTGAAAAAATTTGGACTAGATTATTCCTATAATTCATGGAACAAATTTGTCGGGTAAAAGTAAACATTGACTTTATGAGAATAACTTAAAAAAAAGAGATAAATATTTCTTAAAATTTGCAGTTTTACTTATAAATAAAAACAAAGATAATGCTATCAGATTTTTCCTTCCCATATCAATTAAAAAAACAAAGAAACAAATAGTGATTTTTTTTATATTAAAAAACGGAGTAGTATGTCTTATGGTGCACTCCAACTAGAACTAGAGCCACCTTTGTGTGTTGTAATTAAAGATCTCTGCTTTATCCGTTAAAGCTAATGAAGTACTGTAACCATTCTTTTTAAGTTAAACCTCAAACAAACCAAATTAAACCCTGTATTGGTTTCCTAGGAATATATACTTTCTGTGCAACTTTCAACATAATCATGACTTCATTAATTAATGATCAAGCAACTTTGATTGTGTTTTCTTTTCCATAACAAAGGTTTGATAATTATTAATTAACATTGATCAGCAAGTTGCTAGCCAATTAACCCCACCTCGTCATGTCACTCCTTTTACTTTCTCCATATTATCATCCTTATTCCTCCAACTTGTGCCACAATAATAACAACAATGAACAAATTAAATGAAAATATTATAAGGTAGTTCATGAAATGAATCTGAGGAATGATCGTACCTCTCAATGAAGATGAATACAAGTTGTGTCAGTGGTTGTTACCAATCTTCGATCAAATTCATAACTAAATAATAAAGACGTTAATTCTATTTTTTTTTTGGCCAGATAATGATGACATTAATTCAAACATTATTTATTTAACTATAATTGATAGTAAACATTAATTCTCCAAGTAGTTTATAGAGAATGTACATGTTATGAAAAAGATGATTTGTAATTTCCGTATACCAGATAATATGAAAATACAAGTCAACTTACCCTGTTAAATTAATAAACCGGAACAGATTAATAAACCACGTTTCATAGACAAACTTAGTAATTAGTATAGCCTCTACCAATCTTCGATCAAGTTCATAAGTAACTAATAAAGACGTTAATTCTTTTTTTTTTTTGGCCAGATGATGATGACATTAATTCAAACATTATTTATTTAACTATAATTGATAGCAAACATTAATTCTCCAAGTAGTTCATAGAGAATGTGCACCTTATGAAAAAGATGATTTGTAATTTCCGAATACCACACAACATGAAAATACAAGTCAACTTACCCTAATGAAATACTTCATTTTAATTAGTTTGACTATAAATTTAATCATTAATAATTGAATTAATATTATAATTAATTCAATAATCGATTCAATTTTCGGTAGTATAAGTGCCAGATAAAACGGTCCATTTTTGTTTTACCAGTATTCATACTGGTTTATTATTAACAGTTAGTAAACTGTTGATAATGATAAGTAAAATTAAGTGTAATATTAATTGTTTAACATTTTTAAATAGCGTCCTTCTGTTCGTTATTTAATGATCAATGATCAGTTCATTATAACGAGTAAAATTTTATTTATCAATGACATATAAATTATTCACCACGACAAATAAAATCATATATAGATTATATTTTGAGTTTTATGAATAATGTTGAATATTTTGTTAATTTTATTATTTCCAATATATTTAGTAGTTAAAATTTAAGTTGATCCAGCTTATTTTAGCAATATATATTATTGACTCAATAAATTTAGACGGAATTACACATAGCTGAAAGCTCTCATAAATGTTGATCATGTGTAAATATCTTTCTTAACCATTGAGACGTCATAAAGAACCTCACTTTCCTTTTTGATATTGCCATCTAAGCAATTCATATTTAAGCATTGTCCAATTTAATTGGAACTAATTTTTTCAAAAATATATTTTATATTTAAAAGAACTCAAATTTAAAAAAGTATTTAAACAGCCATAGCCCTTTTTCTCTGGAGAACCAAGATCTGTTAGTGCAATGTTATATTTTTAATAGATTAATTACTGATTCGCATGGACATGGTCTTATAGTCGGTGAGGGTTGAACGGGAGTAAATTATTTTCCCTTAATGGGCATCATAACCTAATGATTTCTTTAAAAATTTTACTCTTTTCATTAAAAAATATAAAATATTTATTAAAATGTTATGTGTTAAAAAATATAAAATATTTTTAATATTTTAAAATATAAATTATATATATTAATTATCACATGAAAGAACAGGTTGTCATAACCTAATGATTTCTTTCAAAATTTTACTCTTTTCATTAAAAAATATAAAATATTTATTGAAATGTTAGATGTTAAAAATATAAAATATTTTTAATGTTTCAATATGTAAATTATATATATTAATTATCACATGAAAGAACGGATTCTCATAACTTCATATTTTTTGAAAGATTAGATTTAAAAAAGTGTAAAATATTTTTAATATTTCAATATGTAATTATTACATTTTTTTAAAGTATCCTTAATAAATTAATTATTTTATGTTTATTTTAAAGTAAAATATTTTATTAAATAAAGGTAAATTATTATAATATATTATTAGTTTAAAAATAACTAACTATTTTATTGAAAGATAAAATTTAATTAAAAATATATTATATTTTTTAATGAAAGAAGTATTTTAAAAGCAAATACAGACATCAACATATGATTACTTTATTACAAATATATAATTGTATATCCGTATAGAGATAAAATCATGATCAATGTAAACTAAAAGAGATTTATTATAGTAAAAAAAATTATAACTATTTAAACAAGAGATATTAAATTATATAATAGTAGAGAATGTGTGAAAATAACAAAGATTTCTCAAGTTCTTGCTAGAAATAATAAATAAAAAAAAAAAAAATATTTTGTTGGTAAGATAATTTATTTCACCAACCTGCAAGTCACATGCAGTACTTGGTGTACAAGTTATTGCGTGCAACTGTTACACACGAGTATCATGAACCTATATAACATGTCACAAATTTATTATCTTACCAACATGAGACATCGAAGTAATTGTTTCATTAAAAATGAGTAAAAAATTAACAACCGCAAAAACAACAAGTCAAAGAAATTAAAACAGACACAGTTAGATTTGGCCTATAACTTTTTTAAAAAAATATGGCACATCTTTTATAAAAAAAAAAATTATCATAATAACAAGAATAAAGATCTGAACCCTCTTTGGTGTAAATTCTCATTTTTGATACTTAATGAACAAAATTATCTCAAACTAGAAAAATATTAGTCATTGAACTGATTAAATCATTAAATCAAAACAAAAATATTAAAAATTGAAATTAATCAAATCATTAGTTCAAAAGATAATAATTAAATTTGGGAAAAATGACATAGAGGTTCGAAAAGGATTAATTAATTTAAATTAGATATCAAGTGTTAATTTTTAAAAATTTAAAAATTTATTTTTTAATTTTACAATTATATTGTGATGAATTTGTAAATTATTTTTCAAACTTTAACATAATTGAATAATAAAATAATTTATTTTTTTATTAAAATTTAAAATATAAATTATAAATTCATTATAATAAAATTATAAAATTAAAAATTTAAATTATAAATTTATAAAATTTAGTATTTAAAACTTAATTTAAATTAAATAACCATTTTGATACCTCTCACTCATTCTTCCTTAAATTTGTAGTCCGTACATTGAATATTAATAAAATATTTTATTAAATTTATCAAGACATTTGTTTAACTGACGTAGTTGATCCAGCTTCGATTGTATGATAATTAACAAGGCTCTTTCACACGGATAAACTTTGTCCAGTTTCTCTAAAAAGATCTGGAAAGCTGGAAATCGAACTGCGTAGCGGTGATTTAGTGATTAAGAGTTAAGATTAAGAAGAAATAGAAACAAAAACTGAAATGAATGTAAACGTTGCCGACTCGCTCTCAACATCCAATCTAGTAACTCTAGTTAATACTTAACCTCGTTTGACCTGACCATGGTTCAGTGTTTTGCAGTTACAAGTTAGATTAGGGAGCGCAATAAGCCTCAGGTTCTCTTCTCTTCTCGCTCATTGCATTTCTTTTCATTTCCCTCACAAAATCTTCACAATCTCCTCCTCCTCTTCCTTCCCTGTGTTACGAAGGAAGGAGGAAAATAAAAATATATATAAAGAAAAAAGCGTTTTCGTTTTCATTTTCGATTCCCGAAACGCCTGCTGTTTCTCCTCCTTTGTGAAATGTCTTTTGTTCCTCAGACGGTTGCTCTCACTGTTCTCTCGCTTCCTGTCATTGCCTCGTCCTGCTTCTTTTTGCTTTAAACTTGTCGGCGTGAGTCCAATTTCTATTCCCAATATAGAGTTGAAATGTTCGAGATCTAATTAGAGCCATCGTGACGGCGTTCATGTGGGTTTTTCGATTTAAGCTGACATGGAAACCGGGACTATTTTCACTGACTGGTGGGGTTCTTATTCTTAGAGGTGAGAATCAATCAAGGGGTTGAATATCTGGAGATTTCATTTTCTGGGGTGATCTTGTTTGTGATGGAACAGATGAGGATTGAGGTGGGTCTGGGAGGCATGTTGTGGAACGAGGACGAACGAGACATGGTTGCGGCGGTTCTGGGCACTCAAGCCTTCGATTACCTGGTAAACCACTCAGTTTCGAATGAGAATCTGTTAATGGCCATGGTGACAGACGAGAATCTCCAAAAGAAGCTGTCGGATCTCGTGGAGCGTTCAAACGTATCGAATTTCACCTGGAACTATGCCATTTTCTGGCAAATTTCTCAGTCAAAATCCGGCGAGTGGGTTCTGGGTTGGGGCGATGGGTGTTGCAGAGAACCCGATGACGGAGAAGAAGAGGGATTCAAAGGAATCCTGAGCCTTCGCGTGGAGGACGGGGTGCAGCAAAGGATGAGGAAGAGGGTGTTGCAGAAGCTTCACACGACCTTTGGCGGTTCAGAAGAAGACAATTACGTGTACGGATTAGACCGTGTGACTGATACTGAGTTGTTCTTTCTCGCTTCCATGTACTTCTCTTTCCCTCGTGGCTATGGAGGTCCAGGTAAGTGTCTTGCATCTGGTAAGCATTTATGGCTCACGGATGCACAGAAATCTCCAGTTGAGTACTGTGTGAGATCATTTCTGGTTAAATCAGCTGGAATCCAGACCGTGGTTTTGATCCCTACTGATAGGGGCGTGGTGGAACTGGGTTCCGCCAAGTTGGTCAAAGAGAACTTAGAATTGTTGCAGGCAATCAAATCGGAGTTCTCCATTGAATCCACATTCCCGAGGGCTAACAAGTCAATTCCGCCGCCTCATCCTCCTCTGGCTCCGGCGACGACGGGGAGAAGAGATGAACTCACCATATTTCCGGCCTTAACCGCTTCTGACAAAGTTGAAGTAGTCCCGAAGATTTTTGGGCAGGATTTGAACAAGGCCAACCCGGTTCGAACCAATCATTTCAGAGAGAAACTTGCTATCAGGAAAATGGAGGAGAGGCCATGGTTAGGTGGAGGAGGAGGAGGTCATCAACCCAATGGGCTTCATCCTCGCAATGGTGTTCCACCTTCAAGCTGGACACCGGCTAACAATGGCGTGAGGCAAGGCAGTCCTGTTGAAAGTTATGCACCTAGATTGTCGACGAGCAATGTGCCGGTTCTGGACCTTGTTAATGGGGTTAATAATTATCAGGTACAAAGGAAAGCGCCAATGCAGATTGATTTCTCAGGAGCTACTTCCAGGTCTGCTGTGACTGCTGTGAGACCCAATGGCGGCGAATCAGAGCAATCTGATGCTGACGCTTCGTTCAGGGAGGAGCTGCCGGGCGGAGGAGGAGGAGCCGATGAAAGGCGGCCGAGGAAGCGCGGAAGAAAGCCGGCAAACGGGAGGGAAGAACCTCTGAACCATGTGGAAGCTGAGAGGCAAAGGCGCGAGAAGCTGAACCAACGGTTCTATGCTTTGCGAGCTGTGGTGCCTAATATCTCCAAGATGGACAAAGCCTCTTTGCTGGGAGACGCCATCGCCTACATCAATGAGCTCCAGGCCAAACTCAAGGCCATGGAATCTGAGAAAGAGATAATACTTGGAAGCACTTCGACTTCAAGGGATTCATCAACGGAGCCCAACTTTATACAGATTAATCAAACTCGTCCACAAGTGGAAATCCAAGCTGGCGGCGACGAGGTCATTGTGCGGGTGATCTCACCAATCAATTCTCACCCAGTCTCAGGAGTGATCAAAGCGCTTAAAGAAGCAAACGTGAATGTCTTGGATTCAAAACTCGCTGCCGCAGGTGAAGCCGTGTTCCATACGTTCGTGATCAAGCCTCAAGGACCTGAGCAGCTGACAAAGGAGAAGTTGATTGCTGCATTTTCCGGCGAATCCAACTTATCGCAGCCATTATCATTGACTGGCCATTAACATAGAGTCCCATAGGCATGAATATGATACATAGAGAAGAACAAGAATCAGTCTCTGAAAGAGGTTGCTCAGAAATTTTGTTATACAGCAACAGGGGTAGTAGCAGTAGAATCATCTCTATTATTTTAACCAGGTAGAGCAGCAAATTTAAGTGTTGTCTATAGTTTTTATTTATACACAGGGTTATTAGTAGTGTAAGCAGTATTCCTGCAGGTTCCTTTCTTTCTTTCTTTCTTCCTCCTTCTTTCCTAGTTTAGCTCTACATGGTTAAAGCCTTGTTTTCCTTTTTCAGTTCTAGATGCTAAAGTTCTTGTATTCATCCAAGATCTGTGCATAAGAGTAAAAGTATTAGTAAATTCTTCAACTGCTAGTGTCACCTTAGAATCAGATCTCAAGTACAGTTCAGGCACTCAAAAAGATCTGTTATTTTGCCACCAAGAGTGCTTAAATTAACTGTCCTGAAAATGTAGCGGTCTTAATGCTGGGTTTGAATGAGATTGGGTCCGATCAAGAGATTTGGTGTAGTAAAATATAAAACATTTTAATAAAAAAATTTTTATTAATAATTTTTTTAATATAATCATTTTTATATACTTTTTCTCTGAATATAAATAAAAAAATATTTTTAAAAATTTATATTTTTATTTTAAAAAATAAAATTATAAAGTGCATTTTGATCTGTTTGATATTTATAATTTATGTATAGATGTGCCGGATATTTACTTATTCAACACTGATTTCCTTCAAGGAAGGGACAGCAAATTAATAGTGAAAGTCGTTTTTCTTGATGAATGGTGTACGCGGTTTCATGGATAGAGTTGCCATGTCATGTTTTGTCTTGCTTGCTTTTCGAGTTTGTCTCTGAAAACCAGCACGTGGACCAGCCCGTAGTGATAAAAAGAGGGAGTGGGGGAATTGAAAACATTTCATTAAATTTGCTCATGTGTGAATTCAGATATGTACGTTGTGTATACTGATATACAAGTATTGCCGTAACTTGTCTGGATGGGAATAAAAATGGTTTCGTTTTCTATTATGTTCTTTAAAATATACATATGGTAATTTTTCAGATGATACCTTGGGTTGTGCTTTTGTGAAGTACAGCATCAGAGTCTTCAAATTCTAATAAAAGGCTGTCAACTGCTCAAAAGTAACGTTTCTGCAACAGAAGGGGCAGTCATGGGGCAAGCTTTTTTCATGACTCAGAAAAATCTCAGCGTGAATTATTTGCGGCCATGATTTCTGCAAGGAATGAACCATAATCTAAGAAAATGTAGGTTTAAGATTCTCTTGTCAATTGAGAAATCTATTTTCAGCGACTGCTTGATGGCCCGCCAGCTTTTTAACGATAAATCATGAATGTTTTCAGTATAATCTTTCCATTCAAGAAACACTCACATACTATATATTCATGTGTTTTGAATATGATGATATAATGTTATATTTTCTTTAAATTATAATATGAAATATTTTTTAAAAATTTTGCTTGATTTAAAATATAGAGTATTAAGTAATTTTTATAATTATTTTTAACTAAACATTTAATTCATTTATTACTATTTTAAAAAAATATTGTATTGAAATTTTAATTATCATTATCAAAATACTTGAATATAATATCTAATAAGGATAAAATTTAACAAATATAATTTTTTTAAAAAATTAAAGTTTTAACTAGTTATAATACATGAGTATATATATATATATAACATTTTAAATTATCAAAACATATAACATCATACTTAATGATATGAATGTTAGAATAAAATGTGAAATCTAACTGTTAATTCATTGTGTATGAATCCTTACTCTCTCTATTAAAAAATATAAAATATTTTTTAAAACATTAAATATTAAAAATGCAATGAATTTTTAGTTTTTTAAGGTGTAATTATCAGCTTATTTTTAAAATACTCTTATTGAATAAATTACTTTATATTTATTTCAAAGTTAAATATCCTATTAAATAGAAGTAAATGTAAAAAGATATGATTAATTTAAAGACAAGTAACTATTTTATTGAGAGTGAGATTTAATTAAAAATGTTGTATTCCCTCAGTTCAAAAATGTAAGTCATTTTTAATCAAATCTAACCTTGAAATAAATTAGTTATGTACTTTTAAATCAATCATATCTTTTCATATTTATCCCTATTAAATACATTACAACAAATATAAAGTCATCATCAATAGGGCACTTTAAAAAAAGACAAATATATTTTGAAAGACTAACAATTTCTTATATTTTTTAATATCTAATTTTTTAAAAAATAATTTATATTTTAAATAAAAGGAGTTATTTTTTTAATGAAGGAAATATGACTTTTTTTGGGTTAAAACCCTATCCAAAATGTCTGACACCCCGTGCTTTTTCAAATTATTTTTTTAAATTTATTCTTATATTATTTAATATGGGCACGGGAAATATACTATATCGTTAAACCTTTTCCGCTTTTCATGTAAAAGAGGTTAAAGGCAAAAAGGAAAAGACGACTTTTTTTTGTTTTGTTTTGTTTCATGGAGATAACTACTTCGTAGTGTTGTTGGTATGTGAAACATGATTGAAAGTGTTCTAAAATTTAGATTCGAGTATTACACTTCTTCTAATACTTATTATAAGATACCTACTTAAAAAGAATGATGGTTCCTCATATAAAGCATTTGATGTAATATAATATGAGTAAAATCAAAAGTTTATTTTTTAATATAAATTTAATGATTTAATTGCTTCTCTTTAATTTGGATGCAGTAGTTAAAGTTATCTTGTAACAAACACGAAATGAAATATAATTTAATTGTGTTTGCTCTTTTTTTTTTTAATTTATTGTTTGGATTTGTTCCCAATATCTGAAGCAATCAAGAGAGGCCTTTACTTTGATGAAGCGCATGAAAAGAGGGGGAGAAGAAGCGACGAAAAGCATTGGTACTAATTGTAGGCCGTTGCTTTGATGTTTCAGGTATCTCCTCCTTCCTCAGAAAAGAACCTATGCCCTTCAAAGCGCACCGACTCAAGCAAAAACTTGCACCTAATTTTCGCTAATTTATTATTTACTTCCCCAGTAATTACAATATATTTTTCACTCTTCAAACTTGACGCCCCTACATGACAATAAAAATATCACAAAAGACTGTAATTATACCTAAAAGTAAACTTATCACCAAAATCATGATTTTTTAAAAATTCAATAATTCGTTTTATGTTTTTTAAAACTTAATATTAATTTTTTATATTTTTTGAGGAATAAATCAAGATATATAGAATGAACGAATGATTTTAAAGGGAGGAGGATTTAGGCTTATTATAAAAAAAAAAAAAAAGGGTAAGGAGGATTTAGAGCAAAATTGAAAATTCATATAATTTAAAAAAAATTCTAGAATAGAGTGGGGCCCATGATAGGTGGTCCAGAGAGAGAGAGAGGGGGGGGGGGGGGGAAGGCGTGAGGTCGCAGTCGCTTGCATTATGAAACGCAAAAGCGTTCACGTGCTGGCCCCTTTCATCCAATCAGTTTTGCCGTCCCAAACAATCATGTGGTGCATGTGTTTCCATTTATATCCAAGCATTTTATATTATTCTTCTTTCCTCTTTTCTGTAATAAAAAATAAATAAAATTTTAATGACAAAAACCCATCTTACATGCCCTTTTGTTCTTGCCCCAGGAACCCAAACAACAACAAGAGGTCATTTTCCTCTTTATTACTTTCTTTTCATTTCCATTTCCCCCATTTCTTACTATTATCAGTTCCCTCAACTTCACTTCCCAATCTTCTCTCTTCAATTATTTATTACCCTTAGATTTTATTTTATTTTTGTTTTTTATTTGGATAAAGTAGGCAAGCTGAAGCTTGAAAGTAGTCTACAGACAATTAAGGACTAGAGCATGTGCTCTCATTGAAACCCAACAATCCATTCTCCACTATATTAGAGTTCTTTAGTATTTCAGCACAAGCTTTGTGACCTTGTGAGTTAACCAAACCATCAATGTCAAAACAAAGATATTCTGATGGTGGAAGGTTCCCCGTAGTCCTTTGCAAAATTTTAGAAATTAAATTTTTTTGGATGAAGGGTGCACGCTTCTTGGTCTTCCAAACATATAATAGTGTATCCTTGCTGCTACTCTTCCCCTGAATGGCATGATTACATCGTGCTTTTCATATGTTCCAGTGAATGTTATTAGACACCTTGTACCAAGGCCATTTTTGGCACCTGCTCCTTCACTTGCATTCCATCTGAACCATTCAAGGCAAACCAAATTTTTCTCTTTTTTTTTTTTGGGTATATAGTTAAGATTAATACAACATAGCTAGACCTCCCGATCAAATTTACGATCTCTTTTTAAGTGAATAACATTCTCCTCTTTATTGCACTCACAGGACAGGTATTATGTGGGGAAAGATCTCTTCTAGCTCTAAGAGAGTTAGTTAAAATTCTCTCTTGGCTAGCTTGCTAGATAAAAAAAAAAAAAAATTCTTTACAACTCCTTCCAAGGACCACAACTTTGTTATTGCCAAGAAAATCATAGGCGGCTTTAACTAAAAAATTTCCATTGAAAGCATTAACCCAGTAGAAGGAATCAGCAATGCTTTCCTCAGGAGGCCTAATATGATGACCTTCGTCATTAACCAATCATAAAATTAATTAATTAAATCAATCATTAAAGCTATGAATCAACCTTGGCTAAGGTTAATTTTTTAATTAACTTTGAAAGTACTAGGAATGATGGGATTCCAAAATTATTTAAAAAAGATTAATGATGTATAAATACTTGAAAATACTTAAAATTAAAGTATAAACGTTTGCAAAAACATGAAAATGAGTTGAGCATTTAAAATGAGTTCAAATAGGAGTAAAATAAACATTTTAACAAAATTGGCACATCTATTGTGTCCTATTACATGTTCGCTGTGGCTTGTAGCACAGAGGCCATTCACTGCGGCCAACTATAGGATTCGCCGTGGTGCATGCACAATTACAGCACAGATTAGATAGCCATAACTGTTAGCTATTGGGGTACCTAATTTATAGTTTGGACCTCCAATTAAGGTGGTCCAAATGTCCATACATAGGTTATTGAATAAACTAACTAATAGCTCTGGTCACACTCTAATCCATAATCAAAAGAGAATCCTAGAACACTTGGTGTCAAGACAATCATTTATACTAAAAGCACCAAAATCAAATGTCCCCCCTCTTAAACCATTATCAATACAAACTTTATCACACATAAAATACATTTAAAACTAAACATGCATAACAATTAACTTGTATTCAAGAGTTGTAAACATTCCAATCTCCTCTAACAAGGCTTGCCATCAACTAGGAGGCTACTTAAGCTGGAGGTAAGATAACAATCCTCTTAATTTGTGCAACCATAACATATACCCACATGTATCACTGATCCTTATTCAAAAAGCATAAGAATTCATGCCACAAAGCTTAAGTCAACACCATAGACTCATGCAAATGTA